ATAATCACACCTTGCTTATCTGGTTGGGGATGTGACTATTTCAGAGAACTGAAAAGGATGAATGTGTTTCTGTTTAGTGGAGTATTTGTTGTCTTTTAGTAGACTGTGTAATAAATGCTTTTACATCTTTAAAGTGTGTTTGGAAGGCATTATATTTTATGTGTGTGACAACAGAACCACATATAATTTAGTGATCAAATTAATTGTTAAATGCATAATAAAACACAAGTTTATCTAGCTATCCACTTAATGAGGACATGCTGACTTACACAGCTATTCTTTATCAAACAGGTGAAGGTTAACTAAATCAGTCTAATTCATGATTGAATCATTTAGGCAAGTTTTGTGAGCAGAAAAGAAAGAAAGACAATAATCTCTCATTCAAATTATATAATTTTTAAGACTTACAGGAGGATTCACTACAGGAGGATTTTATTCACCCCCCGGAGCCGTGTGAGGGACATTTTATTATGAATGCGCGCGCTTTATTTGACGACTTGTGGACTGTTAAACTACAACACCCGCTGAGTGCCATGAAACAGCTTGAAAGATCAAAAACAATTTTTAATATAACTCCGACTGGATTCGTCTGAAAGAAGAAAGTCATATACACCTAGGATGCCTCGAGGGTGAGTAAAACACAGTCTAATTTTCATTTTTGGGTGAACTAACCCTTTAAATTCAATCTCAATCTCAAAAAGATGCTAAATCTCTGGACATAATCTGAGTCAACTACAAACATTATACTTAGCAATAAAGTATGAGAGGCTGCACGCTGCATTGTGTCAGCATCCCAAATCGAAACAATCAGTTAATATCTTCACCTTATAACGCATGCTAATTAAATCCACCACTGGTTCTTCACAGACATTATAATTAGAGGTTCTTTAAACAGTAATGTGTGTGCCATATTTGGCCCATATGTTCCAACGGGATATTTATTTTCCCAAATTGGCTAGTGGTGAAGTCATTCATAGTGCCCACAGGTCAATGGTCCCCAGTGTGTGCCAGTAGAAACAGGTTGCATTGTCGGCTGAATAGTCCAATACATGAGTGTGTTTAAGTACCCATGAACAGCATGACATCATCTGGCATATGTTTCAGTGCGGAATACAAGCAGCGATGTGGGGGCTGCTATTCTAGTCTGATACCCACCGTTTTTTTTTTTAAGATAAATTACAATATCATGATAGTTTTAAGGTTTCCCTCAAGGCAAAACAGTGCCAAGAACACCATTATGTCCAAATCTACAGCAGGCCTGCTCTTGTCAGCCAGCCAGCAGACAGGCACTACTCCTAACTCATGCCGGGTGTTTTCCTTGGATGCCTGAGCCTTTTTTTTTTCCAGCCTGGATGCGGGAAGCCATTGAAGCTTTCAGATGTGTTTAACAAAAGAGAATGTTACTTTTGTGGAGAAAAAGAGAGACAACAAAAGAGAGCGAGTAGTAGTGTACCAACTTCCCTTTTTAATTATTACAGATGCATTAATCATATTGACGCCAGGTGTTCTCATAATTTTTCTTGCTCGCTAACATAATATTACCATGGTTTCTGCTTCACTGTTTGAATCAACAGCCATTTGAGGAGACAAAGCACTCTGCGATGTGTCATTACAGGCAGCTGTGCATGTTTACAATCTCAATAGGCCTCAACATGAGTGTCAAACCCACAAGAAATATGGTCATTTTTGTGGCATGTTTATATCTAGACATCCCATCTGAATCTCACAACCACTGCAAAGCTCTCTGGACATAAAAAAAAACACCAAAAAACTTGATTTGATGATTAGGCTATTTCTTGATTTATAGTTTTTCCCCCCAGCTGTCTGTCTGCCTGACATTGACATTGCAGATTACATTACAACAGTGATTGAGTGTAACGTAAGTGGTAATAAATCACGAATCTCACTGGGCTGGAGGCATAAGGGGGCCTCAGAAGTAAACGGTGCCAACCTCCAATCAAACCCCATGAAGATGACAAGGACAAAACCTGGCAGGTTTATGTTAAACACAATCAAATCAAACCAACAAAGTCATTGGTACTGTTCAACCAGAGAGCACGGTTATCATTGGCTTTTTAAGAAACCAATATGTGTAATCTGAGGGTTTAGTGTGGCAAGATGTAGCCTCAAACAAGCTAATATTAACCTAATATTAATATTAACTTCAAATCCAGGTGTGACAAAATGGAGAAGGTTAAAGCGACAGCTCACCTAAAAATTGTTCTGTAGACCCCAAAAGAAGATATTTTGAGGAATGTTTCAACAATTTTTGTCCATGTAATGAAAGTCAATGGGGTCCAAAATAACACCGGACTAAAGCCCCGTTCACACCAAGAATGATAACTATAAAGATAACGATATTAGCGTCCACACCAGCGAACGATATCGTCTGTTTATTCTAAGCGCACATGCGTCTGTCGCTTTAAATTCTTGAGCTCATTACAGCAGGATGGATTCTGATTGGCTGTCAGTGTTTTATCGTTCATCAGCTGGAAAAAAAATCGTTTTGAAAGTGATCACAACGATATCGTTCCTCTGTATCGTTATAGTTGTGGTGTGAACTATGCTATTCTTTAATATTGAGAACAATTTTTAGAACTATATCTATATCCAAACAAAAGAATGCGATTCATCAAGTCTGTCAAAAGATCCAAAGCAACACAAGTACAGTAAAAACAGAAGAGAAGACCAACATAAGAGAAGATACACTTTCAAAAGTATAACATCACATCACCAAGCAAACATACCTCCATGGTGGGCGGCATTCACATAATGTTATCTGTCAGAATCATTGGTGATCATATTTTCACCACATTTCCCAGTGTGTTTTGATTTTGCTAAAACAACAGAATCTGCACGAGCACGACTGGTTTTATTGCGCTGGCATAACAGCTATAAATTTTTAAATAACCTGGCGTCCACCTCACAAAGACAAGTGCTGGTTATAAAGCTACACTACCTGGAGAAGCATTGCGTGTGCATGACATAACTACGGGCCTTTCAGTCTGAACCTGTTGAGTTTAAATGGGCTTTTCATGGCACGTTGTAGCACACAGACTCTCAGCAATTACATTCACTTTTCAGCTACGGTCTGGATTTAATAAACCCGTTCATCTGTCAGTCTGACCGTAAAATCTGAGCCCATAAATCCAAGCCTACCTTTCTGTAGGATTGTTGAGATCACAGAAGGTTGATTAAAACAACTGAAAAGAAGAATGAGCTAAAAACTAATAAAGTCTCTTAATGAGCTCAAGGAGGGTGCGTCTTGGTTCTTGGATTTACAAGATGGATGAAACATGAGCAAACAGGCATTTAGTACCTAACACGGTTCTTGTGGTATGTTAAGATTGTTTAGAGCTATATACAACCGAAATTCCCACATGAGTCTCTTACAAGCTCTATACACTTTTAAAGAAACTATAAAGGAACTCGGGTAGTTTTCATGATTTAGAGATCAACCTGAAATTGCTTGTTAATGACCGCTACGGATACAGTTTATTTATAATACAGCAAACACCAATACAATGAACCCTTTTTAGTTCTGCCACACTAAAGCTGAATGATCATACTACTGCTAACAATAAATACTTACACATTATGAATATTTAATATTAATATATTTGTTTTGTTTTTCTTAATACAGTATGTATTTATGTAATTACATTTATACAGAGTTATTTTGCAGTCTAAATTATATATATATATATATATATATATATACAGTATATATAATTTTTATTATTATTTTCAAAATAACATGTATATATGCATAGCTGTTTTATAATCGAAATGGTCACAAATTCATTTTCTGGTCAATACCAATTAGCCGATAATTAATTAGTTTCAGCCGGTAACCAATATTAAAATTCTATTAATTAGAATTACAATTAAATAACAAAATGTATTTATTTAAAAAAAATAAAAATGTATACTATAATTAAAATAACAAACAAACAAACAAACAAATAAATAAATAAAAATTCTATACCATTTTATCTAAAAAAAAAAAACCCAGATCAATTAAACTGAAATCAATTGTTTTAAATGCTACAAGTGAAGGGGAATGAAGGGCAATGAACATGCATAAATTTGTATGCAGCACTGTTTGACATATATTCAACATCAAATTGATATTGAATTGATATAAATATATCGTGCATCCTTTAATGGCAATACTATAAAAATCTGGACATGGCAAAAAAAAAAAAAGCATAGCTATTTTTCTAGTCGCTAGAGAAAGCAAAAGACTGATTATTTTGCAACGTTTGCTGACAAAGCCCTGGGGGACATTGCAAGTTTGCCAGTTTTGATTAAACATGCTCCCTTTGTACAAATCAAGCATAAACACAATTTAATTGCAGAAGTCAAAGAACATCAGATTAAACATAAGCATTATTTGTCAAATCCATCTGTTTGTGCATTATGCACGCAAATGACCCTTTTGGCAATTTTACAGAATTTAGAAATGAATTCAGGCCAATATACATTTGTTTGTGGAGATGATGGCATCCTCTACCCTCTCCCAAGATTGCTGGAACTAATTGCCCTCACATCTGCCACAAATCTGTTAAACATGTGTTTGGACAAAACAGCAAAATAGTTCATTGCTGAAGTACCTGCACCTGCTTCTTTATACAGTAAAACTTGAGACAACAGCGGCTCCCAGAGGGAAACACTGAACATCAAACATATGGATACAACAATATTTATATAAATGAACTTCCAACATCAAGACAGGTTAACATTTCCTGTGTATGAGAGAAAGTGTATATTTCCATCACTTATTTTGAGCTCACATCTTAGATTAAACATTTACTATAAAAGTGACATTTATGAATGAAATTACTATTTATAAAGTTATTTAATCATGCAAATTTGCGACAATAATGGCCTGTCAGACACCTTGTAATGCGCTATTCTCAAGAAATGTAAACAAACGATACAAATTAACGATACAAATTAAATATAGCCTAATAATTAATTACATTTTGATGTCTTACCTGTCAGCAGCATCCCCGAGCCGCTCTCCGTATCTGGTGATTCAGTTGCACCGCTGTGCATGATGCTGGCTTTTACGAAAGTAAATAAAACAGCTGTCCACAGTACTGGCGAAAGCATCATGTTTGCCTAATTTATAAAGGCGCAAGAAAAACACTGTGATTGTTCATCGCATTTTAATAGTTTAGGTGGTAATGAGAATGGTCTGAGGACAATAATAATGGAGTGGCGCGTGTCTACCGTTGATGTTTGGCGAACTCTGCTCACCTGGCGAACACCGCGCGCTTGCCGCTAGACACCTTCATCTGTACAGTATTTGCTCGAGGGGCTCCACCCACACCCTCGACACAGGCCAATGAGAAGCAGTATCTCAAGGCTCATTAACATATCAGTGCATGAGAATGGCTGAGGAGGACTGTGCTGGATCAAAGTACTAATTATGAAATAATTAAATAACGAGATTAAACATTATATATAGTAATTTAAACATTAAACATAAAATAAAAATTAAACACAGTAATACGTCCCTAATCATTATATAAATAGCATATATTGTAATAAATATTACATATATGTCATACATTTACAGTATGTGTGTGTTAATGTTTTAGTGCAAACATTTTCTGCGTTGTATTTGCGCTTTAGCTTGTGTACAAATCTAGTTAAAATTTAGCATTGTGTTTTATGAATTATTAAATTACTTGTGATATTTTTCATTCAGAAGTGACTAGATAAACGAGTCTGCTATGTACAGGTAAATGTAAAAAATGAAATAATTGTATTAATATATTAATATTTAATAATTGATTTTAATAATAGTTTTTAATATTTTATAATAGTTTTTTAATAATAGTAATTTAAAAATGTAGACCATTCATTTTTATTAAAATTTTACAATTTTAATTATTAAATTTTTTTTTTTTTTTTTCTGTGGGAGCAAAACTATTTAGACATTTGCATTTCATAGGTTCAGCTTTGTCCATGACACAAACATTTCATTACCAAATTAAAACTTAAACTGTATATGAAAGATTGAATTAAGGCTATTTTTTCCAAGCTTTATTTCCATATATCTCTCAGTTCAGTGATGCTTTTTCATACAAAATGCAAATGGTAGAAATGATAAGACTGTCAAGAGTCGATTGGCTGAAATATATGGCATTATAGATCGATCATCAGATCACAGGAGTGAGGCAGTTTTCTCTGTGCATGCATCACTCTATTGTTTTCAACAACTCTTTTACAACAAACTGAGAAGTGAAGTGTCTTCTAATTTTCTCCCAGAAACCCAGGGCTAAGTAAGTGTATCAAAGATTGTTTCTTTAAAAAAAAATATCAACAGCCAATTAATTTACTCCTCATAGAAAAACATGGATGAAGGTGTACAATTTCCTACATGCACATATGTCATCATAACATGCAAACATGACATCATCCAAAGAGATTAGCCACAGGTCAGTTGGACAAAATATACAGCACACAGAGACAAACTAGTGCTGTAATAAATTTGGCACCTGGCATATATATATTTTTTTTTCTTCTTCTTTTTTTCTGTTTTTCCTTATTTTTAAAGAGGAAAGGTGATGTCTAAATAAAGGGAAGTCAAAGATCTATTGGGTTCACAACACTCATCTCCATCCCAAAACGGAAATGGTGGCCAAAGGCAGTTCACTAGGACATCATATACTGTAAAAAAATAAAGAAATCAAGTCTTTACATTAACCATCCTTTTAGCGACAAGTTGCGTAACACAACATCAATTCCCCACCTATAGTGTGCAACCAGTACAAATACCACTATATTAATTGTTGTACTTTCAGAGGGCACATCAATATCAAGCACAATCATCAATGCATCTGCATTAAAATCTGGCATTTTTAGGTGAGCTACACATCCTGTATATATAAAGATCCCTATGAAGTGGTGAATTGGTCCCATTGGTGCTAAAGCTAGATTGTGTTGAGTGCAGGTAAAGCTGCAGGATGAGGAGCAGTTCTAAAATGTCATACTGTACTTCAGCAGTCAACATGTCCCTGCACTTAGATATTTAAGAGCACAACAGTCAGGTTGCACAGGTAAAAATTCCATTCATTTTCTCCACAGAGAAGTCCAATGTAACTTTTGAATTACTCATTATAAGTGTTGAGATTCTTAAGCAAAAATTCCTGTAAAGAACTACTGTACCACTCATAATCCTGTAAAGAGATTTGCCAATCATGAAAATCGCATAAGATGTTTCATTTATTTATTTTTTCTCCCAGTAGCTTTATACTGTAAATCAGAAAGTTAGTTCCCCCAAATTTTCGTATACTGTTTTGCTTCAATTACATTTTTGCTTGAAATTCCCACGAAGACAATGAAAATAAAATACTTCCTTAACCAAGGCTGCTGAAAAAGCAGACAGCCACTGTTGCGCTCTACTGCGCTCACCCTAAAAATACCAACATGTAATAAACCCTTCAGATAGAAAAGATACTGTCGACAAACTAAAAACATGGGCAGAAACAGAGTAAAATACATATTCTGAATAAATTAACCTTGATTTGTTAACTATCATCCAAAACATTACAGTATCTCACTAACTGAGAGAAAACAACATATTCTTTATTTCACATTGGTAGCTCTGAATCTTTTTGTGTGGTGAATAACAGATACAAGAGAAAGTTGACTAAGTGCTTCAATCTGTCTCAACTTCTTCCTCTTTTAATCAATTACTGAAAGAGAAAGGTCTGAGCTCATAATATGCCCTCTGGAAACAACACTGACATCAACAGCAACCAACAAATACCACCTTTCAGTCTTCTATAACTCAACTGCATTAGCATTTTTAAGATATCATCTACTTTCCCCTGAATCATTTCAATAACACACTCTGAATAGACCAACATCATCAACATCCACCTGAACTTTACAATGCTACAGTCTTTGTTTTGTGCAATTTCTTTCCTCAAATACATGCTCAAGTATATCTAAGAAACAAATATCAGTGACATTTAACCTACAGCATACAGCAACTGTTCATTGCCTCTCTTACACCAAATGCTTCATAATGCATCACGCACCAATGTGGCGATAAAATCTTTTTAATGCAAAGTTTAGGCACTTGGCATCTTACCTCTAGAGAGTAAGAAAATGATTAGACCTTACATAATGTCCAGCTACACTCAGATCATTTACAAGGTACAAAATGGAACACTGTGAAAAGATATTCAATCTACTGCAGTCTGATAGAAAAGTGCGTTTAATTTGGCCTTTTTTCAGTAGGTGGGAGCAGACCAACTATTCCACTCATGCTAGAGAAAGAAGTAGAATTTCAGCAGCACAAACCTTTAGGTTGTGTGTCCACCAAAGAGTTTTTAGCCAACAAATATGCCAGCCGCTTTGGAGGCACAGCGTTTAGCTGTTTCCCTGGTAGACCCATGATGAACTAAATGTTCCTTCAAGCATTATTTTTTTTCACATTAATGTTGCAATCCGAAGGTGTCAGGCGATGGTTATTCAATCATTGTACAAGTAGAATGTGATGGTTGGTCAGTGTGGTATTTGTCCCACCCCTCCTCCAATGCAAATTGACGGTTAGGTGAAAAGTGGCAGTGACGAGTGCGACATTTTACCCAAAGATGAACACTGTTCAACGCTCAACGACCAGAAAAAAAACAGCAGTGAAACGCTCAGCATGGAACAAACACTTGCGACCACGTCACACTAGTATGTGGTGCTCCCATTGCAAACAATTAAAAATATACGCTGGCTTTAGGAACAAAAAAAAAAAAAAAACGTTTTGGTGGACACACTGCCAAAATCCCTAGAAATATCTTTTCAGTCATTGTGTCCTGTGCAAAGAGTCTAAATAACCTCTCAAATCTCAACAACTAAATGTCTCACTTTTTCCACACAACTGCTTTCACCATAGCTTGTGTTTTTGGGCGTCTTCCTCTCTGAGGTCTGAGGTCTTGATCACAGGCACAGCTGATGTGATCATCTCCTTGCATGTGACCCTTGTGGAATCAGCCCTAATGAAATTAAAAGAGGTGGGGAGTGTCACTTGAGGCTAAACTATTCAGTTTGAAACCTATTAAGAGCTCCAAGCGCTTTCCATCTTGCCACAACTTTCGTAAACAAGTCACAAGGACGTCTGCTACTTTCTAAACAGGAGAAGAACACCTTTATAAAACCATATACGCTCAAGCTGATGGTAAACAGTTGTAAATAGTGTAAACTGCGGACGTAACTCTTGTTTCCCTCCAAAACACGGCTTCCTCCTCCCCCGGGGCAAAGACGATAAAACTCATGCTAGATTGAATCATGCTAACACCAGTCATTTCTCTCAGTTTCCTGATAGCTTCCAGATGCTCTGCCGCTTGAACCAGGTGCCGCGTTCACTCCGAGGGAGTAGTGATACCCGTTGGGGACTCCGCTCTGGCTGCGCGAGAGCAGTGTGGAAGTGGGGGCCACACCTGATGATGTGTGGGCGATGGAGGCTGCAGTCCTGGGGGAGCGGCCCGTGCCGTACGTGCTCAAGGCATCGTGGAAGTCGTCCGCTTCAGACAAGTTTGAGTCTTGCTGGAGGGGACCCAAGTTGGGGTCAGAGCCGATACGAGTGACAGGCACGGGAGATTGGCGGTGGGTGCTACCGCTGAGTAGGGCATCGTGCTCTGACAGGCCACGACTAAGGCGAGTGGGGCAGGGCCCTGTAGACTGGGCAGTGTTGAGCTGGACCGGAGAGGAGTTGGCAGTCTTGTAGGCAACAGCAGGCCGAGGCGTAAGGGGCGTCTGAGGGAGCTGTCTACGCCCGCGGCAGGGTGTGCTGGTGCCTGAGGTATGAATGACTGAACTTCCTTTAGCTGTGTTAATTCCCTGAAACACAATGAAGAGAAGAGAATGAGTAGGTCACTGCTACACAGCATGTGTGGAAGCTAGAGGGACTGAGGGAAACCACCTGACCTGCTTAAACCTGTTTGGGTCATAGGGTTCTCCTGGCGATGTGGATCTGCTGGGCCCGGCGGACACACTGTGGCCTTGTTCATGGCTGCCGTAGCGATCACAAGAGTAGTATCGCTGCTTCCTTTCCGCCGCTGAGGATGAATGGTGCTTCCTCTCGTGGGAGCGGCCGCGGTCTCGCTCCCGTGATCGTTCCCTAGGCGGTGACTCAGTGTTTGGATCTGCTGTTATACATAAAAATTCATCACATATATTAATCAGCCATGTCCTAGTCAAAGCTGAACCGTGCATTTTTTTTTTTTCAGATGTTAAAATATGATGTTCTGTGGCTCTTTCAGACCATTTCTTGTTTGTTTGAGTGCTGCGACCAGCCCAACATAGCAACAGTGGCGTGAGAAAGTTAAAGTGGTCCTGACAATGAAACAGATGGGTGGGATCTGTTTGTCCAACCAATGGAAGATGGAGAGAGGTACTTCAAAATCAATCGTTATTTTTGAGGTTCTGTTTTGTGATTCAAGTGGTGCAAAAATGACAAACGGCACTTTAAATATAAAAATGTTATTAAAGGGGTCATATGATGCGATTTCAAGTTTTCCTTTCTCTTTGGAGTGTTACAAGCTGTTCGTGAATAGATAAGATCCCTAAAGTTGCAAAGACTAAAGTTTCAAACCCAAAGAGATATTCTTTATAAAAGTTAAGACTGGTCCACGCCCTCCTAAAACGCCTCGTTCTAATGTTCTTTTTAGCAACATCATATGACCTATATACACTACTGTTCAAAAGTTACATTTAAAAAAAATATATTTTTTAAAAATTGTTTATAGTCTTGTATGCTCACCAAGGCTGCATATATTATACAATATTATACAATAAAACTGTAATATTGTAAAATATTGTTACAATTTAAAATATTTTTCTAATATCTAATTTATCCATGTCATGAAAAAGCTGAATTTCTGGGTTGTTTATTTACTCAAAAATGTGTAATTTCAAATTAAATAATTAATAATTAATTTCTCATTTTCTCTGCTTATATTCTCCCCCAAGTTTGTCAATAAATGAGCATAACCATGCACCGGGGCCTTTTAACTGGGCTGTAAACACCAGACACTGCTGCCCAACACCAGTTTGAAACCACTGTGAACTCAAAACACCAGAGGGCACTTATATATCACCACAAAAGGGCTGGTGACTTGTGTGTGTGCATGTGTGAGCCCTGCTGTTTGGTGCTGTTGTGATCTTTGACTACAGAGAAACAAAAACATGTAGAGGAAGATGTATGTGGGTGTCTGTATGTGTTTGAAATCTGAGCACAAACACACCAAACTAAAATGAGCTTTCAGAGGACTGATATATTGTCCCGTTTGATCTATTACCAGAAGAGTCAGACTCTGGCTGAGAAACATGTTTATGTTCCAGTGTTTCTAAGAACAGAATGAGAGGAGCAGGAATCTTGTAGTAAAGAATCCTGAGATCTCCTCATGTGCAACCACAAGCTCATGACTGCTACTCCGACTGCTGACTTTTCCCAGTCACGCCACAAACTGGCCAAGAAACAAAAATCAAAAAATCAATCCGTTCCAAAGTGCATTTTCTAGCAATGGTTTGTAAGTCCCACTTTCAGTCAAAGACAGAGGTTGACAAAGTAAATCCTACACCAAAGTGCCTTGGAGAGCAATAAAGAGTCTTTTCCTTGATAACCTGATCACTATAATCCTTAAAAGAATTTACATCACTGTGCTAAGCATAAGAAGCTGGGATTTTCAACTAGTACTCCATTTTTCTTCATAATCCTTATAGCTTGTACAGACCTATATATGGCAAATGTCATATTTTATATAATATAATACAATATTGCATATATGTATGTGTGTGTGTGTGTGTGTATATATATATATATATATATATTCATTATTTATTAAACAATATATATATATATATATATATATATATAGTTTAATAAATAATGAAATAATAATATTGCTGTTTTTCTTATTATTATATTAAAGCAATCTATCTTAATTAAAATGCTAAAAAAACTAGATTTAAACTGACATCTTATTTATTTTTTCTCTCAATAACTATTGTTTTTAATGAAGAACATACAGTTATTGAAACTTTTAAATCTCCTATTTACAGTTTTTGTTAACAATACATTAAATATATATATTATATGAATATATATTATATATACAATATATAAATATATTATATATTACATATACAGTATATTGTTACAGTTCTTCTAATATATTATATAGGAGACCTTTGAATATTGTGTTGAACAGGTAAAGGGGGGCCTTCGATTTGAGATCCACTCTTCTAGGTGGTTGTTTACCAGCCCAAATCAAACGAGGCCACCTCATGTCTCTATGATATTCTTGTGCTCTATGAAATTCACTTTTTTCTTTCACATGAATGTGCTGAAAAGCGTAAACGAATGAGTGAGAAAGAAAATCAAGCCCACCTGCAGGCGGTGGCTGCTCCTCGCTGATGGCTCGATCCAGCGATTTGTGCTTCTTGTCTTTGCGCCGCTGGCAGCGGTGATGATGATGGTGATGATGATGATGGGCTCGCTCCCTCTCTCTCTCCTGAGCGAGGGTCTGGCCCGGGGTCATCTTGGGCCTCTCCAGGTCATAATCGCTCAGATTAACCTCTCGCACCTCTCTCTGTGGTGTCAACGAGGACGTAGACCGCCTCATGGGACTCACGTCTGCGATAGGCTGTGTGTTGGAAATAAAACGTGTTAACGTGTGAAAGATGAAGACATGTAGGAGAGAACACATATCTAGCAAAGTACTAGAATGACAAGAGTCTCAGAGCACTAGACCTGTCACAACAGACGCACAACACCAGCTGAGCATGAAAACACAGTTCCACTGAAGAGCGTCGTTCAGCCCGCTCCTGCGGACACACGCACGCATCAGAGAACAGTGGAACACCGTCACGCTCGATGCAAACACTCTGCTGTTTGAATGCTGTCATCGAATCGTCTCTTACACACGGACTGGACGGCTGGAATAGTTGCTGCATGAACTATCCACAGCCAAGCAGCGGTCACTGATCTATAAAGAGTCGCTGGTGCTTTTCTTGCTTAACCTTTGCTGTTAATCTCTAGATAATCTATAGTCTGTATGTGCATTTACAGTCTCAAAAAGATATTCATTAAATCTTAAATTGTCCTAAAAGTCACTTTAGACTAGATTCTTTAGAGAATCTGTGACCACTCCTTGGTGATGACTGGAATTTCTACCTTTGTAAGTCTACCAAGACTCATTAGTACCGCCCAGTGGCATAAGCGTTCAGAACCTCTAAGAAGCAGTGCGTCCCCTCTTCTCTCAGTTTAAACAGCCTGAAAAGTTTCATTTGAAGTAACTAATTGCACAAATTATTTTAGATTGCAATATTAATTCATAATATTGCTGGTTATACTGTATTTTGGATCAAATAAATGCAGCCATGATGAGTATAAGAGACTTCTTCTAAAAAACATTTTTAAAAATCTTACACAAACATTAGCGTATGTGATTACAATCATAAATATGGCTGAAAGATATGTGAAGAGAGGACTGCACTAATCAAAATGATGCACAACCCACCAAATGAAACACACTCATACTTACAGTTAGCACCACACAACATCCAAGATAAAATAAGCATTACATTTTAATCTTTGCTTTTCGTATTGCTATAACTAAACTGTGGTTAATCTGTTCCATTACTTGTAAAATAGTTACTCACAGTGATGAACTACTAAAAATGGCTTTTGTAGTGCATGTTAGTTTTGTGTTTAGCTGGCTAATATGAATTGTGGCTGTATAAGTTTATTGGTCTGTTAAAAGAGTGTAAACTCTAAAAGAGCTGGAATGGATAAAGCACACACAAGCCAACATAGAAATGGAGTGGCTGGCAGAGAGATATAGAGGGAGAAAAAGAGAGAAAGAGAGTGTGATTGCAGGTGGAACACTTGTACATACTGCTAGATACGTTCCGGTGGTGTGGCGTAAGTGGCTCCGCTGTTGGGACGGGAAGAGGAAGAGGACACATAGGTGAGGAGAGCAGGGCACACAGTTGTGGCACTCATGGACACAGAAACAGAGTGAGACAGGAGGAAAGAAAGCAGAAGAGAGGGACAGAGGAAAGAACGAGTGATGTTCATTAAAAGTCTGGATATCAAGGTCCAGTATGGTCAGAAAACTGGTGCCTAAAAAATTAGGGATGGTGGATCAGAGACTGTTTGTGCTGAGAGAAAAAAAAAGGTGGCGAAAAAGAGTTCAGTGAGTTTGATGTTATAAAGACAGGTGGAGAGAAAGAAGAGACAAACAAGACAGGACAAGACAAGACAAGACAAGACAGGACAACACTAAAGACAAGACATTATAACAAGGATGCTGGACACTGTGTGAGTCTATTAGCGATGTGGCAAAAATACCAAATCAAAAGAAACAAAGTATGTACACAAATAAACTTACAGTTAAAAAGCAACATCAAATAATTACATTAGTTAATGAGGAAAAACTCAATATGAAACATACAAAAAAAATAAAAATTACATTCGTATTATTACTGTTAACTACAACTATTAAAAATTGCTTTTGTTAATTGAAAAAAGCTAAGAAAACATAAAATATAAAAAATATTTGAACAACTTAAACTTAAATTAGAAAACTTAAATTAGAATATAATATACGCTTTGGATAAAAGCGTCTGCTAAATGACTAAATAAAGAATAAATAAATTAAATGTTGCCTTAGCAACTAAAAAATATAGATTAACAGATATTTTTAAATAGCACAAACTAATTAAAATGACAGAAACACATAAAATGAGTATACTAATATAATTTATACTAAAATGAAAAGAAAAAAGAAAGAAAGCTCATTCAAAATATGAATAAATATTATAATACTACATAATAATACTAAAACAACACTGAATTACAACCTACATTGTGAATAAAGATTTTTCAAAGTTGTAAATAAAACTTTTTGGAGTACATTTTACAAGAAAATACTGTTTCAGTCTTTCAACTTTAAAAATGTTAAATTCAATGTTTGTGCTGTTTCTTTGTAATTAATTGTGAAATTCACTAGCAATTTCTGAGTGAAAGTTGTCTCTGCACTATTTAATGTCAGTGTATATGATATAAATATAATTTAAAATAAACTAAAATATTTAATTCCAACAAAGATTAAAATAAAACATTCCTATATAGTTCTGTATAGTGTGAATATACTGTATGTAGACTTTGCATTGTCCCTCATCTTCTCTTTTTCACTCTCTCTCTCTCAAACACACACACACGCATTCAGCTGAACTGAAGATAATAAATGTGTCTCTCAGTGGAGACTAGTGTATACAGTAAATTAACCTCTCCTGACTTCCTCCAATTAATTTGCTTGAATTCTTCAACTCCTCTCTGCATTCATTAATACATCTTCCCTATTACCTCCATTCATCCATTCATTCATACAGCTGCCCATTCACTCCTCTTCCCTCTATCTATGCACAGTCATCCCCCAGCTGCCTCTTTCTTTGCAGGAATTAGTCAGAATAAGAAACAAAGGCTGTACAGTAGTTATTTCCAACTCCCACCAGAACGAACTCATATGGCCACGATGGACAGGAGATGTTTACCTGAAAGCCAGCATTGAGTCTGGGCATGGAGGCAGCTCTGCCGTGACCCTCCAGCACAGGATACCCGCCCACATCAGAGTCATTCTCCATGTCAGTCATCTCAACTAATTCCTGCAACATACATAGAGCCAGACAAAATAAACACAAAAGTGAAACCATTGTGAAGAAGAAGCATACTTTAGCATACTTATAAAAAGAGTACTTATTAAGGAAACAATATACTTAAGTGCAAACTGAATGTTTTTGCACACTAAACTGCATGTTATTTGGAAAAAAAAAGAAATTAATTATAAGTTTCAATTTATATTAAAAGCAGTTAATTGAACTTAAGAGTGCTTTTTTTGAAGTACACTACAAGTGAAGTACACTACACCCAAAAATGAACTATCCCTTTAAGTACAATTCTTTTTTCACAAGGGAATGAACAGTGAACAGTATTTGGGCTTGTTGCTGATGAATCTGACAGTTTGTAGTAGGGATGCACCGATACCACTTTTTCCAGTACTCGCCCGATACCAATATTTTTATATTTTGCCGATACCGAGTACCGATACCGATATTTTCATTGCATTTGTAAAATTTTTAAAATATTGGGTACAGAAACCAAAAGAGTATGTATAATGTTAGTTGGTTGTAGCTTTAATAAAGACCACAGAAACTAGGGCTTAACTGATCAGTAAATGGCTGTAAATGTCTGACACATGTAACTTATGCAGGATCACTAGTACAGGTCAAATCACCTGAGATCTGTATGTGTTTGGCACATCTTCCGATTGGCCCCGTTGGACAGGCCTTCTGTTCACTTCCTGTGTGACTTCCTGAGGTATACCTCCCGATGGAGACTTTTTCATGGCACTGCTCTGGCTTTGTCTGTGACATACATAAAATTAAAAAAAGATAAATTAAAAAAAGAAAATGAAAAAATACAAAACCCATTTTCAAATGGAAAGTGTAGTACTTAGAAGACCAGAATGGTATAGCACTCACACTGCATCCCCATTGGTCAGGTGAAAGGATGTGGGTGGGGCATCTGGCTGTGGTGTGGTATCTGATTGAGAAGAGGGCGGGACTTTCAGCACTAGTGGCTCCTGATCGTGCAAGTGTGTGAGAGGAAGCATTGGTCTGAAGAGAACTCCAACTTTACTCTGAGGACAAAACATAACAAACACAACAGTCTCAGAAGGACTATATCATCAAATATTAATAACTGTTTGATAATAAAATATGGCTTTAATCTTTATCTACCAAAATATTCCTACTATTAATTATAATTCTGCAGATATAAGTTCCCTCTACCTGTGTGCCTGGTGCAGCCTGCTGCTGTTGGAGTCTTTTGGCTCGGTTCTGCTTATAGTAGTCGAAAATCATCAGAGCAGCATAGACCTTCCCTACAGTCAGTTCATTATCTAAGAGAGAGTGAAATGCACATGAGATATCAAACGGTCAGAAGTGCAGGGAGAAAACTGATGTCCACTAGGTGGCACCAAAAACTCAGAAGTCACAAGCAAAACCAGGCTGAATCACTCAGGTGTAAAATATCATTAATACTCTTTCAAAATGAAAACCCAAACTCCCATTAGAATTTAATTAAGATTCCATATAAATGTTAATTGCTTTCTAAACAGAAATCAACATTACTTTAGCAAGAGTTTCTAAATGCAGGGCATACGTTTATGAGGTGTCACCAGCATGTCTACTGTTTTCGAAGACAAGTTACTCCAAATTTTATTTATTTCCTTCCTTAATTCAGCATCACATAGCCGCTGAGCCAGAACTCCTAGAAAAACGATAAGAAAGCAAGTCTGTGAGAAGCAATAATGTTAACAGAGTCTTTCATAATGTTACTCTAATTCTTGCCATTGTTAATATCCCCATGTGAGATTTTGCCAAGCTGTTAATGGATGTTATCTTATTCTTTAATCATATTTTGCACCAAGTAAAAGGTTAAATAAAAGTCAAAGTCATTGGGGAAAGCGTCATTCAATTAACTTGAAACGCTTTTAACGATGGTGGAGTGTTAAATGTGGCTGATGGAACAGAGCAGTGACTGGTGAAAAGCGCTGCTGGAGCCGATGGAGAGTTAAAGGAGCTTTTGACAAATGCCAGTGACTCACCCTGAGGGCTTCAAGCGGACACTCACCTGATGCCAGTTTAATCTCCAGGGCGGTCCGGATGAGAGCCATTAAAGTGGAGGTAAAGTGAACCGTACTGTCTTCAGCTATGGGCATGTTCATCCTCACCAACCGCTGTGGAGTCATGGACACACATAGTATGTGATTAATATCACACATGACTGCAGGATACGGAAATGACCATAACAAACGACAGGAGGAGTTTGCATGCTTAGGGAGAGTAACGACTTTACGTAATTTCCCTTTTGTCATTTCTGAACTCTCATCTCAGCACACAAATTGTCTCTTCAGGACATCAGAATGATGAGAGGAAAGAGAGAGTGTGTTTATATTTCATGCAGAGGATGACTGGTGTTTTGCTGCATTTCTCCAGTTAGCAGACAGTAAAGCTGTTTTCGTCACACTGAGAACAGTGTGAGCTTTAGCAATTATTGGAGGTTTACAGGTTTCTCAGTAAATGCGATTACATGCACAATCTTACTGATTATGCTTAATAACCTGACAATGTACAATATCATCTTAAGCTCTGATTTTAAAAAAAAATCAGGTTTAAGCAAAATCTGTGCTGTGACCATTACTCCAGTTTGCAATTAAACACCTTTAATGGTGTTTTAATGGTCTTCTTTTTTTAAATTATTTTGATTTTGGGGTAAAACATGGACTTTTTGGAAAATCAAACTTATAAAGTCCTTTATCCTTTGTGTTTGAGGTATCAATATTAAATATTGCCAGTTTGCATGTGGGCAGCTATGACTACTGCCCACGTAGAGAATGCAAATGCACTAGTTAATGCGCACTGAAATGTGAGGTGTTGATGGCTGCATTTCTTGCATTTTTACAAAGTCAGTGATGACCTTCAGAAAGGATGATGACCAGAGAACGAGAAAAGATAACATGCTGACCAACCAAAACCAAGACCAATGACAGCACACACCACACAAACACGTAACTCAAGGTAAAGCCAGAGCAGATGCTTCACACATTAACACACTCAATGGTAATTAAAGAAAAATGTAGAGGTTAAAAGACAACAGACGCAAAATAAACAGAGAATGGATCTGTTTCTGTGGTGTAGAGCATAACATCATGCACAGGGACAACACTCTGCCATTAGAGTGTGTAGGCCAGCATAGACATGTTTCCACAACAGCTACCAATAAAAAAAGGGAAAGGACGCTCCACTGAGCACACATCTACAGCAAGCTTTCTTTCTTTCCTCCCTGTTGATTCAGTGCTCTGAACTCGGGGGAAGTGGGGGCTTGTTCTATTTAGAGCTCGCTGGAGAACGTTGCATCCTCAAGCCTTCACGCACACAGACTGTGTGGCCTCAGAGAGTAGCTCAGCAGACAGACACGAACTCTTGAACGTTACCCATTCAGACAGCTGGAACAGGGTGTGTAAACTTATTGACTCGGAGGCAGCTCTCAAAGTGGCAGAATGGCCTGGTACCAAAACAGGCAGCCCTGTACCAGTGACGCTTGAGATTCAGTTGTGATATTTAGAGTCACTTTTTCCCCATTCAATTCTTTACTTCCTTAGTTTCTTTTATACATTGCAAGACCACCAATTTTAGTACTGCTGCAGATGCCTGAGGAAATTCATTGCTGACTGTGTATTTATTCTGTCTACTTTTGTTGTTTCAAAATATATTGAACTGCCAATGTAGTATTTTAAGGGTGTGCTTAAGACACAAACACTCTCTACCAGTTATTCTGCCTTCTAAGAAACTATTTTTCAGACAAAATCTAAGCCATTGCATATATCTTTTGCAGAAACGTCAATACCAGAATGCACTGAGGTAAAAAGTTAATCAGTTTTGGTGAATGAAATTATAAATGTGCCTATATACCTAATTAAACGCATACATATATTTAATTTGATTAAAATATGTATATTAAATGTTTTTTTTTTGCCATCAGAGGAATAAATTACATTTTAAAATATATTTAAAAAGAAAACAGTTATTTTAAATTGTAATAATATTTCACAATATTGTTGTTTTTAATGTATTTTTGATCAAATAAATGCAACCTTGGTGACCATAGACTTTGCCAGTTTAAATCTAAAGTTTTACTACCATCAGTGAGATCAAAAAGCACATAGAAAAGAGCACAACACAAAGCACGAAAAAAAGAAAAAAAAAAAAACACTTCCACAATTAGAGCACTGACTGACAGCAACATCAGCCTTTGAGAGGACAGAGGAAGAGCCAAGGAACAGTCAGGGGTCTTTAATCATATTTTGCACCAAGTAAAAGGTTAAATAAAAGTCAAAGTCATTGGGGAAAGCGTCATTCAATTAACTTGAAACGCTTTTAACGATGGTGGAGTGTTAAATGTGGCTGATGGAACAGAGCAGTGACTGGTGAAAAGCGCTGCTGGAGCCGATGGAGAGTTAAAGGAGCTTTTGACAAATGCCAGTGACTGGCCCTGAGGGCTCCAAGCGGACACTCACCTGATGCCAGTTTAATCTCCAGGGCGGTCCGGATGAGAGCCATTAAAGTGGAGGTAAAGTGAACCGTACTGTCTTCAGCTATGGGCATGTTCATCCTCACCAACCGCTGTGGAGTCATGGACACACATAGTATGTGATTAATATCACACATGACTGCAGGATACGGAAATGACCATAACAAACGACAGGAGGAGTTTGCATGCTTAGGGAGAGTAACGACTTTACGTAATTTCCCTTTTGTCATTTCTGAACTCTCATCTCAGCACACAAATTGTCTCTTCAGGACATCAGAATGATGAGAGGAAAGAGAGAGTGTGTTTATATTTCATGCAGAGGATGACTGGTGTTTTGCTGCATTTCTCCAGTTAGCAGACAGTAAAGCTGTTTTCGTCACACTGAGAACAGTGTGAGCTTTAGCAATTATTGGAGGTTTACAGGTTTCTCAGTAAATGCGATTACATGCACAATCTTACTGATTATGCTTAATAACCTGACAATGTACAATATCATCTTAAGCTCTGATTTTAAAAAAAAATCAGGTTTAAGCAAAATCTGTGCTGTGACCATTACTCCAGTTTGCAATTAAACACCTTTAATGGTGTTTTAATGGTCTTCTTTTTTTAAATTATTTTGATTTTGGGGTAAAACATGGACTTTTTGGAAAATCAAACTTATAAAGTCCTTTATCCTTTGTGTTTGAGGTATCAATATTAAATATTGCCAGTTTGCATGTGGGCAGCTATGACTACTGCCCACGTAGAGAATGCAAATGCACTAGTTAATGCGCACTGAAATGTGAGGTGTTGATGGCTGCATTTCTTGCATTTTTACAAAGTCAGTGATGACCTTCAGAAAGGATGATGACCAGAGAACGAGAAAAGATAACATGCTGACCAACCAAAACCAAGACCAATGACAGCACACACCACACAAACACGTAACTCAAGGTAAAGCCAGAGCAGATGCTTCACACATTAACACACTCAATGGTAATTAAAGAAAAATGTAGAGGTTAAAAGACAACAGACGCAAAATAAACAGAGAATGGATCTGTTTCTGTGGTGTAGAGCATAACATCATGCACAGGGACAACACTCTGCCATTAGAGTGTGTAGGCCAGCATAGACATGTTTCCACAACAGCTACCAATAAAAAAAGGGAAAGGACGCTCCACTGAGCACACATCTACAGCAAGCTTTCTTTCTTTCCTCCCTGTTGATTCAGTGCTCTGAACTCGGGGGAAGTGGGGGCTTGTTCTATTTAGAGCTCGCTGGAGAACGTTGCATCCTCAAGCCTTCACGCACACAGACTGTGTGGCCTCAGAGAGTAGCTCAGCAGACAGACACGAACTCTTGAACGTTACCCATTCAGACAGCTGGAACAGGGTGTGTAAACTTATTGACTCGGAGGCAGCTCTCAAAGTGGCAGAATGGCCTGGTACCAAAACAGGCAGCCCTGTACCAGTGACGCTTGAGATTCAGTTGTGATATTTAGAGTCACTTTTTCCCCATTCAATTCTTTACTTCCTTAGTTTCTTTTATACATTGCAAGACCACCAATTTTAGTACTGCTGCAGATGCCTGAGGAAATTCATTGCTGACTGTGTATTTATTCTGTCTACTTTTGTTGTTTCAAAATATATTGAACTGCCAATGTAGTATTTTAAGGGTGTGCTTAAGACACAAACACTCTCTACCAGTTATTCTGCCTTCTAAGAAACTATTTTTCAGACAAAATCTAAGCCATTGCATATATCTTTTGCAGAAACGTCAATACCAGAATGCACTGAGGTAAAAAGTTAATCAGTTTTGGTGAATGAAATTATAAATGTGCCTATATACCTAATTAAACGCATACATATATTTAATTTGATTAAAATATGTATATTAAATGTTTTTTTTTTGCCATCAGAGGAATAAATTACATTTTAAAATATATTTAAAAAGAAAACAGTTATTTTAAATTGTAATAATATTTCACAATATTGTTGTTTTTAATGTATTTTTGATCAAATAAATGCAACCTTGGTGACCATAGACTTTGCCAGTTTAAATCTAAAGTTTTACTACCATCAGTGAGATCAAAAAGCACATAGAAAAGAGCACAACACAAAGCACGAAAAAAAGAAAAAAAAAAAAACACTTCCACAATTAGAGCACTGACTGACAGCAACATCAGCCTTTGAGAGGACAGAGGAAGAGCCAAGGAACAGTCAGGGGGATGGGATCTACCTTATAGGCGATTCGTGGAGGACATTTCTTTCCCAAACCTAGCGGAGGGGACATGTGGCGAAGCATCTCATACATATCGAGGTAGGATATGCGTCCACTTCACAGGGGAGACACCGAGAGTTCAAAGATCACACAGGCAAGAAAAGGAGAGGGAAGGAGTAGTGGAGAACATGAAGAAAATGTGATGTGAATGAAAGAAAGAAAGAAAAGAAAAGAAAAAAAAGCATAGTTATCAAGGATTCTGAAGGAAGGTCAAGGGTATCCGATACCATCCTGTCTCAGAAGGACGGATGGATCACGCCTGCTTTTAAAGATACAGGCTGCAGGTGATCCAGGGATGAAGAACATGGCATGATGGGATTGGGCTGGAGGGGGGCTGTAGTCTGGAGCTTCTGTCCTTGCATGCTAGGACGCACCACGGCTAACCAATCAGATACTCAGGAACAAAGCTAATATTTGGCCTAATTTTATGCACGGTATTAACAGAGCAAATAAAAGCTGCTCTAGTACATCAATATTTACAATGAATGAACATATGGGATTCGTTTGGGATGTGGGATTTAGCATTTGGGTTTGTTTCCTGGTTACCATGGTTACCCATATTAGAATTAGTAAGGAAAGAGGGGGAGTATAATCCAATCAGACATTAGCACTTTCAGGCATTTTATGGGCATTCATTTTTTTACAGCACCGCCCCCTCGAGGGAAGGTGTGTAGGTTTTCAAACCTTGTATGCCACCCTATTAGGGCACTTCTTTCCTAAACCAAGGGGGGGTGAGATTATGCGCAACAAATTGTACATATCCATATAGTGTATCCTTCCACTGCAAAAAAATAAGATATGGGTTAAAAAGACAGAGTTTAATAAATTTTTTCCACATTCCGTCAATATATGTATCTAAAGACTTCATGCTTATTGAGATAACTACGCTCAGCTGTGCGTTTTCAAATTTAAATGGATTACACACACATACACACACACACACAAACACACACACACACACACACACACACACACACACACACACAGCACAGGCTTCAAATCCGTTCTGCTCAAGATAGACTAAAAGTGGATGGCATGCAAAGGATAAGATTTGCATTCCTCAGCATTGACAAAGTTTGAGGATTTGATGTTAACCATGGTCACACAGTAAAATGGGATTCTTGTGGCTTAAGGCCTTGAGTAAATCAGACACAGTGACGGTGGCGTACCCTCTTAAGCTGGCGTCTTTCAACCACTTAGTCTCGAGCTGTCACATTTTTTAAAAGTGGCACTAACTGGCAGCGACACCATGGAGGAGTGATACGCACCAGGCGGCAGGGTCGTACTCAGCCCAGACACGGATGAACTCGTCGAGGTGATGAGGCCCGAGAATAGAAGCGTCACGTGTCAGGTACTCAAAGTTATCCATGATGACGGCGACGAACAGATTCAGCATCTGATTGTTGTAGGATAGAGGAAGAATTATGAAAAACAGGAGAAGAAATCTCAATCAGAATTATGTAAAATATGATCACAGTTTTTTTTTTTTTGGTGTCTTGTTGGCTAGACTCAAAGGATGTTTGCACTCATTAAAGCTGCTACACTCTGTGTGATTTTATGTTAAATTTTTTTGCATATACACTACTGGCCTCTTTATTTGATCAAAAATACAGCAAAAAATTTGAAATATTATAACAAATTAAAAAGCTGTTTTCTATTTAAATTTTCAGCAGCCATTCAGAAATCTTTCTAACATGCCGACTTGTTGCTTAAGAAATATTTCTTATTATCATCACAGTTTTTATGGAACCTGATACATTTTTTAGGGTTCTTTGATGAATAGAATGTTCAAAAGAACAGCATTTATTTTAAATAGAACATTTTGTGTACAATGTAAAATCTTTACTGTCACATTTAATCAATTGACAAGTTCCAAAAATGACAAAAAAGCACCCCAAAACCTTAACTTGAGCATTTAATTTCATAAAGCCATAAAGTAGCTTTGTGTAAGGAACAGAGCAAATTGTCATTATTTGCTGAAAATCACACTTGACAACTGTGTCAAATCACCATTCACTTTCACTGTACTCAAAAGAGCAGCTTGGACATTCTGCTATAAATAGTTCTTGTGTTCAACAGAAGAAAGTCATCAAGGTCTGAAACAACATGAGTTGAGTGAGTAAATTATTAATTTTTGAGTGTGTCTGTTTGAATTTGAGATTTGTTCCACTAACCAGGAAGGAACAAAGGAAGATGAAAGAGACAAAGTAGAAGTAAGCGAAATCACTGCCACACTCTTTTCCAGTATAGCCAGAGTCACGGTCACATGGCCTGTCGCTCAGACAAGACAGCATAATTTCATGCCAACCCTCCCCTGTAGCACTCCTGTAACATACAAATAGCAAAAGTCAGAAACTTTGAAATCACTTGCACTAATTTTTAAAAGTTGTGAGAGTTTTTTGTGAGACGGCTGAACAGAGATCAAACAATGTCTTTACCTGAACAACAACATGAGGGCCTGAAAAAAAGTTTGGAAGTTATTGTGAATGTTGATAGCTGACTCCTCGGACAACATGATGTTACCAAACACCTGACACAGAGAGAAAATCACATCAGCAGTCTAATTTCGGATACATTACAGACAATGCAAGCGATTTTGGTGGAGATAGGCTGAAAATTACATAGTGCAAAGTGTGCACTTTCCTACTGAGGCTGCATGAAAACACCCGAAGGGACTGTGTCAATAATTCAGACTGCCTGGAGGGTATGTTACAGTAAGCATCTGCAGTATTAACAAGGCTACATACACATTTTCCATAAACTGTGACTCATGCTTATGAATTTCATAATTTTATGTCAGACAGCAGACACGCAAACAAACATACTGACTCACTCACTCAAATCTACAGAGTTGCAATGCACTGACAGACAGTAAAACAAATCATAATAATCTGTCAGCCACATACATTACAAAAACACATCCAGTGGCCATGGATGGACACAATATTTTAGGATGGCATCTACAAAAGTGTATAGTAATAAAAGTAATATATCTAGCACATTTCTGCTGTTAATAATACATATTAAACCCAATGCTTAGAGTGCACTTTCTATTATTCCTGAAATAACTGACCTGTCTGTAAGTTTGTAAAACATTCTGTGCCAAGTTATGTCCAATTGTCTTTTCATGATCATGTAAAGGCAGTAAACTTTGTAACTTGCACAATCTATGCAAGGATCCCAGAGAGGGAATATTTACACCCACAGGAAATACGACGGTAATACATAACCTGGTAGAAAAATTGCCATTTAGATGACTTTACAACTCAAATAACACATTTATGTAATAAAGTATTAATGTACACTTCTGTTCAAAAGTTTGGGGTCAAAACAGTAATCCTTTGAAATATTATTAAATCTAAAATAACTGTTTTCTATTTCGATATATTTAACATTTCATTTATTCCTGTGATGGCAAAGCTGAACTTTCTGCATTATTACTCCAGTCTTTAGTGTCACATGATCCTTCAGAAATCATTCTAATATGCTGATTTGATGCTGAAGAAACATTTCTTATTATTATCAATGTTGAACGTTGTACTGCTTAATATTTTTGTGGAAACTGTGATATAGTTTTCAAAATTCTTTTATAAATAGAAAGTCCAAACGAATAGCATTTATTTGAAATAGAAATCTTCTGTAACATTTATAACTGTCTTTACAGTCACTTCAGATCAGTTTATTATGCCCTGAATAAAAGTGTTCATTAAAAAAAGAAAAAAAAAAGTATTAATTAAAAATAAATAAATAAAATAAATGAAAAAGTCTTATTGACTCCAAATGTTAAAACAGTAGTGTAAGTGCTCTAACAAAAAGATTACATTTAAATTAGCAAAAAATATAGGCTTCACAATTATGATTTAAAACGCTCTCATCCCACGTTTTTATAATAATGTAAATGCATTTCCTACAGAATGAAGGATGTGAAATTGCCAGTGCTAATCAACAGCATGTCATATAAATAAAGCTTAACTTGAACCATGACTCTAATATGATTATAATCCAAATCCTACTATACAAATACTAGAAAGATGGCAAAAACTGGTTCAAAAGGATGTTTTACGCTGAATGATGAAGCAAACGTATAGTTGGCAGTAGGAGTTTCAAGCGTACAGTTGATTACATGGCTTACTGTTGTTTCCCCAGTCTTACAGGATACAATTAGCATTGATTTACAATGCAGTCCTAATCTACTAGATGGCAGACGCCATCATTTCCAACACAATCTGGGAGATTGCCTGTGCATCCTTAAGTGAGCAATCAAACTTAAAGATGAGATCCGTCCATAAGACTGGAACAATGGCTTTGTTTCATAAAGGCTATGAAGCTTTCAAATGGAAAAACACCACCTGCCCATGTAAAACAGCCTGTGCTTTTTACACAGATTGAGGTCATTCTCAATGAGTCCAAGATCAGTAATCTATCACGTTAAAGCTGTAAACGTTAAGTGAGATGATTGTAGCAGCTGTGGTGATGAGATCTCAGATGGAAAGGTTGCATGAAGGGTAACATTTATGAGAGAGCAACAGAGGCTTTTAAAGCTCTCTGGATCTCACCTGCATCCCGATGATGGCGTATATGAAGAAGAGCATTGCAATGAGGAGACACACATACGGTAGAGCCTGAGGACAAAATACAGTTATTTTACAGACAAACAATTGTCTTGAACGGTTGACAGTTACTGTTGACAGTCAATGTTGTCTAAGCTGTCCAAGTAAAGTCAAAGGTCAAGTTCTGACCTTAAAGGACTGAACGAAGGTCCAGAGCAGGATGCGAATGGTGTAGCCCTGACGGAGGAGTTTAATGAGACGAGCGGCCCGGAAGAGTCTCAGGAAACTCAGATTAATCCTCTTATCCTGGATACAAGCAGAAATAGAGATCAGAGACGCATCACTGGAACTGTATTTAAGCCCGAGACGAGGACACATCCCTCAGTAAGTCAGTGTCAACAACGGCTTCTGTTAGATCTGTTAAGTTTATTGATAAGGTATTAAAACTAGTTAGTCTCATGCAGGACAATGTTGTTGATAGTTTGGTAATGAGGCATGAACAGTCTTGCAGGAACATGCTTTTAAATATAAATAAACAAATCTGTTAGGGATGGGCAGTATGACCACAGTGTAAGATATTATATCACAGCAGGGTTATTACTGGTAACTAAAACTAAAACCAGAAAAAAAACATTACTTGAAATAAAACAAATATTAACATTAACATTGAAATATTAATAAACATATTCTTAGTTAATGTTCCAAAGCAAAAGTTCTTATTCATTCAAGCTGAAGTACTAAAATAACAAAAAAAGCTAAATAAAATAAAACTATATAGACATAATAAAACTAATACAAATAAAAAAACACACATAAAACTACTAAAACTTAACTTTATTAGTATATTAATTAACTATATATATATTAATTAACACAAATTAATATATCTATATCAGTTCTACAATACTTCACAAATTGAAGATATTTTATTTTATTCTTTTTATATGGGTACTTGATAGACACAAACCAATGAAAGATTATTCATAACAGCTAGGCCCATATACATATAGGGGTGCCAACTTCACAAAAGGAAAATACGGGACAATCGTGGTTTTTCATAGAAAAATAAAAGACACACACACACACACACACACACACACACACACATTTATACATCACCCGAAAGCCGAATAAATAAGCTTTCCATTGATGTATGTTTTGTTAGGATAGGGCAATATTTGGCCGAGATACAACTAACTGAAAATCTGGAATCTGAGGGTGTAAAAAATTCAAAATATTGAGAAAATTACCTTTAAAGTTGTCCAAATAAAGTCCTTAGCAATGCATATTACTAATCAAAAAATAATTTTTAATATATTTACGGTAGGAAATTTACAAAATATCTTCATGGAACATGATCTTTACTTAATATCCTAATGATTTTTGGCATTGTTTCAAGAATAAGGTCCAAGGTTAAGAATACACTAGAAGTTACTTAAATGTAAAATGTCTATTTAACATTACAATAGTGAAAGACAACTTCCCTTATTGATCACGTCTTCTCTCAGGCAGATTAGCCTACATGTTTTCTTGCGCGGCTGGATGATGGAGAAATGAAAAATAATCATGTTGTTTGCATTCTCCAATTCGGTAATTGGCGTAAGCGCGAATCCCGCTCGCTGTGAAGCGGGAGCGACCAGCTGGCAGAGGATTCCGCTTTGTCTTAAGCCTTCCTCGAACAGTTATGTTCAAGATTGTGATTTACTTAACACATACGGGACAGTTGTCAACCCTATATACATACCACCATCCCTAGTCTTTCAATACTGGAAAAGGGGGAAAAAATATTTTTTTTATTAAAAAAAAAAACATCTCAACATGGTGCTGGAAAAAACAAAGTCTGATCTCAGCAGGCATAAAGGTGATCATTCAAGATTAGCATAAAGATGTTTGACAGGAGGAGAGGTTTGGACAGAGACAGGCAGTGCAGGAGCGATGAAACCACTTACCGTCTGCGCAGTCCATTGGGGAAAGGAAGGGGGACAGGTGCCAACAGAGATTTAGCATGGAAATAAGAGTCACAGTGAAATCATTAGGCAGAGGCCGTAGTCCGTCTCTGACACGCAGAGACGCAACTGTCAACACTCTTTGGTGGAGATCTCCAGATTGTCATCAGCAGATGATTTGGTCTTATAAACAGGTTGAATGATTAAGGGCTGAACCAAATTCATTTGAAATCATCTAGTGCAAAGGTTGCATTGAGCCAATCAGCTAAATGTGGTTTGAAAATGCCCATTTTTTTTTAATCATGATGTATTATATTTACATGTGCATGCAGTGCTATGTAGAGTATTATATATATCTATAGAAAAACTACAGAAATTTCATTGATTTTTTTAAAGACTTTAAGAAAACAAATCTATGACTTGACAATTTAAAATTTCTTAGGTTTTCCATGGAACTCTGTCAAACTGTCCCCATGACTTTAACCAGACAAACTAAAAGCAGACTAAATCTGCAACACACGACACACACAAAAAAAAAACGAATAAATGAAATCTCACAAAGAGAAAAAGTTAAGCTTTTAGAGGTTCTTATCCGAAACATCCACTGCAGTAAGTCAGTTATATTATTTCTAACATCATATGTGTGTTGAGATTTAAAATGATTTTATTTAAATACCTTTGAATTTTGGTTCTCAAATGCTTTGATGTGTCTCTTTGATGACTCACCTTGATCTCAGTAACCAGGATATCAGTGATGCTCCCCAGCACAGTAACAAAATCAAAAATATTCCATGCCTCCTTTAGGTAGTTCTGCAAACATTGAGGAAAAATATAAAACTACAGTTATTAAAATCAAATTCCACCACAAACATCTTAAACAGTATCGATCAATCTATTTATCTATCTGTCTATCTGTCTATCAGTCTATCAGTCTGTCTGTCTGTCTGTCTATCATAATTGTATATATATATATATATATATATATATACACACAAACACACTTATACGTACATAATATATAAACAATTTTTCCATTATAATTGTAAATAATTATAACAAATTGCTAACAATCTTATATTCTATTGAATATTAAAATGAATTGCTACAGTAGTTTGATTTTTTAAAATTGAGTACTATTATTTATTATTTTAAAAAATATTTGAAAAGCTTAGAAATATGCTTCTGTCAAACTATTAAAAAAATTAGCCAGTTATGAGGTTTAATTTCAGTTTTGATGTTGCATTAAAGGCAGGTTCTGTAGATGGTAAGGCAGCTCACTAGATTTTTGAAAAGAGCTTTTCAGCAGAGCTGCATTTTCTGAATGAATGAATTATAATTACCCCCTTTACCCCCTTTAAGAGACCTCTTTTGGCATTTTTAGATTTCGATTTAGCTTAAGTATAAACCATAGACAGTACGTTTTAAAATCTTTTACTATACTAGCGAGGACAATGTGGCTCTTACAAACATAGAGAATCATACACACAAACACAGGCAGCCTGAAATGCAGACATTGGTGAGTGGTGTAATAGATCTTTAATGGCAGGACGGTCTGCCAGGTGTCTTAGCCTTGGGTTCATGTCTCTCCTGAATGGAGCAAAGATTAGTCGACTGCTGCTAGACATGGATCCCGGATGGAACAACATGAGAGAGACCCATTCATCAACCCTGAGCTCCGAACAGGTGGAGGTAAACGCAAGCGTCACGCACCAGAAAAGCTTCTTAATAAATGACCCTCATAAATGGAAATGGAGCTTGAGATGAGACCTTCTGCTGCAGGTCAGACCAGCCAGCACCAAAAAGAGATTTATGATGCAGCACACACAGCCCTGCTCATACTGTACACCAAACCACACGCTTCTCACCCACCGGGCCATCATTAGCTTCTCACTGATTTCACAGTTCTTGCAATGCCGACGGCCCTGGAGGCTGGTCAATCAACCAACAAGGCTCCACTTTTCACTCAAATCAGTCATTCATAGCGTCATTTTTTTTCTGCCCCTCTCAACACTGGATCAAACTAGTTTTGAGTGTTTACTAACTAGTGTTTACTAAAAGTTTGGTTCACCTTGCAATTTATTCTGACCAAGAACTGCCCTATTAGACAGCAAAAGTCCATCTGACCTGTAAACTGACCAAACACAGTTTGACATTTCGGAATAATTACATAATATAATAAAATAAAAATTACATTAAATAAAATATTAGGAATTTCAATTTAAAAAAAATGTGAAAAAAAAAATAGATAGATGTTACCCACTCCAGTAAACCAAAGTCTCAACACATGATGTTTTATTGATTATTGAGTGAATCAAGTTTTATCAAAAGGTTCTACTAGTTTAAAAATGATCAAATGCATTGATAATAGAATACTGGAAGACAATAAATGTCACCTGGTAAAGCTTGGAATGACTGGAGTGCAGTGTTAATTTTTTACTAAACTTGCTGTACATACAGTAGTAGTGTTATACATAGACATAATACCTAGTTTAGTATCAAACACCGACTGTAATGATAAAAGATAAGTAATATCAGAGTCTCTCCACTCTCACCAGAGGGCCAAAGGCGATGACCTTGAGAATGCACTCCAGCGTGAAGAGAGCTGTGAAGATGATGTTCAACCACTTCAACATGTCCTCATACGGTTTAGGAGCACCATGGAACTACAGAGGAAGAAAAAACAGAGCGACAGTGACTCACTCAAATATTCAAAAGATCTGTAAAATAGGCTTTCAGGAGTGCAAATTAGAAATTACTTATTCATAACTGAATATTCACACACATCATTTCATATGCAATAATCAGCATTGCTGAACCTCAATATGTGTGTTGGACTCTCTCAGTGTGTATCTACTGTACAACCTTGGTACACACACAGCGACACTATAGAAGATTCATTTTTGGCTCCCCAAGGAACGAATCAGCGAAGAGTACTTAAAAGAACCATCTTAGTGTGGAGAACCATCTTAGTGTGAAGAACATCTTAAAAATCTTTTTTTTCACTACAAAGAACCTTCTGTGCAATGGAAAGATTCTGTGGATGCTTAAAGGGGTCATATGATGCGATTTCAATTTTTCCTTTCTCTTTGGAGTGTTACAAGCTCTTGGTGCATAAAGAAGACCTGTAAAGTTGCAAAGACTAAAGTCTCAAATCCAAAGAGATATTCTTTATAAAAGTTAAGAGTCAGCCACACCTACCTAAAACGGCTCGTTCTAACACGCCCCCACATACCTACGTCACCATCTGGGAAGATTTGCATAACGCCGCCCAAATGTTCACGCAAAGAAAGAAGGCGTAACTTTTATTCTCACTGTAGTATCGTTGTTCGGCCAATCACAACGCACTGGATAGCTGGCCAATCAGAGCACACCTCGCTTTTTCAGACCGATGAGCTTTGTAAAAATCGATGCGTTTCAGAAAGGCGGGGCATAGAGGAGAAACAATAATGTACAGTATGTGGAAAATAATGTGTTTTTTTAACCTTAAACCGCATAAACACATTTCATCACACCAAATACACAAAATAATGTTCTTTTTAGCAGCATCATATGACCCCTTTAAGGTTCTTCATGGAACCATGGATCCTGAGAACCTGTATTTTTAAGTGTGTAAAGTCCTTAGAGATAAAAGGCTAGAGGTCACTTCCTGTTAGCAGCTTACCAAACGGACAACTGACAGATGAACTGCACTAGACGGTTCTCAAAGGAACAAAGCATTATGCTATATAATTGGATGCAATGACTTAATCTAAAATATCTCTTTTTGTTAAAAGTTTGCTGTATGACTGCCATGCCACAAGCAGTTATGGAGAAAAAAAGCATCATATATAAATGTCTAATAGTAAATTTCCCGTTTTTAACTTACTGCAACTTCAACAGTCTGCAAATGACAGCTGTGTTACTACCTTCATCATGAGAACCACTGTGTTGATGGCGATCATGGTCAGGATGGAGTACTCAAATGGAGTGGACACCACGAACTTCCATATCTTGTACTGGTAAGACTGCTTGTCTTGCGGCATGTAACGAGTCAGAGGTTTGGCGTTGATGGCAAAGTCGATACAAGCTCGCTGTAGATGACATCAAAGCACACTTATCTCAACATGAAGTCCTCAACAAAATGTTGAAGTGAATGTCTACAAGCATATAACTATTCATCACCCTGATCTTTCCATGTTTGATTATCAGAACAGCATTGGTATTCCCAGAGCTCTCTAAATCAAACGAATGAAAGACTGAACGAATGAGTGCTAGAAGACAAACATCAAACCAGCTGCACAAATCAGAGTTACAGCAGTTTAATATTTAAACACAGACTAATATCTCCTCCGAGAGAAGATACAGATATATACATACAGAATAGAGACAAATACAGAGAACTCAGAAAAAGAGAGAAATAAGGAAAAATAGAATAGATTTTTGCTCCGCTCCAAAACCTAGTACTGTATAATAATGCTGCCTTCTTTATTGTCCAACTTCTAATAAGCATTCCCAGAATTCACTGCAATGAGCTCAGTGGAAAAAAAAAAAATCAAAATGGAGCCAAGATAAACTTATATATTAAGGTGAGCAGATATCTGAAATGTAAACTAAGGACATTTCCTAGTCCAGTGGTCAAAATATAATTGAAATCTCACTTGTTTAATTTAATTGTTATGGGGTTCAACTTCTATTATAATAATTAATAATCAGTATAATGTTTGCTGGCCAAAATGACCCTAACTGGGCCCTGAAATCACAATATTAAAAAATAGTAAACAGTAACCACTGCAAATAGCAAAAGAGTATTATATTATAACAAAATTATGACTTAACAAAAACACAAATAAAACAAAATAAATATGAGGACATATGATAAAACGGTACTTAAATATTTTTAATGTTTTCTAATTTAATATTTTAATTTTCACAAACTGTTAATATATTGCATACAGGAATTACAACTACTAGCACTGCCTGCTAAAAACCATCTTAAACCAGCATAAGGTGGTTAGCTGGTCTTAGCTGGTCTCCCAGCCTGGATAGACTGGTCTGTTGGCTGGTTTTAGAGAAGTTTTGGGCACTTTTCAGTTAATCAGGCAAGAAGACCAGCTGGCCGCCCAGCTTAACGCCCGCTTTTTTCAACAGGGTAGAAACTATGCCTATGTAGAGCACTTCAAATCAATCATTTAGGAGGTTCAATAATGGTTTAGATAACAATGCAGCTTAAAAGGTTTTAGAACAAAGCCATAGAGTTGAAGGAGTTCTGCCTGACTGGTCTGGTAGTTCCTCCCGGGGTTTAACTCTCAGTATAATGTTTGCTGGCCAAAATGACCCTAACTGGGCCCTGAAATCACAATATTAAAAAATAGTAAACAGTAACCACTGCAAATAGCAAAAGAGTATTATATTATAACAAAATTATGACTTGACTTAAAAACACAAATAAAACAAAATAAATATGAGGACATATGATAAAACGGTACTTAAATATTTTTAATGTTTAATGTTAATTTAATATTTTAATTTTCACAAACTGTTAATATATTGCATACAGGAATTACAACTACTAGCACTGCCTGCTAAAAACCATCTTAAACCAGCATAAGGTGGTTAGCTGGTCTTAGCTGGTCTCCCAGCCTGGATAGACTGGTCTGTTGGCTGGTTTTAGAGAAGTTTTGGGCACTTTTCAGTTAATCAGGCAAGAAGACCAGCTGGCCGCCCAGCTTAACGCCCGCTTTTTTCAACAGGGTAGAAACTATGCCTATGTAGAGCACTTCAAATCAATCATTTAGGAGGTTCAATAATGGTTTAGATAACAATGCAGCTTAAAAGGTTTTAGAACAAAGCCATAGAGTTGAAGGAGTTCTGCCTGACTGGTCTGGTAGTTCCTCCCGGGGTTTAACTCTGTGCTTGTGTGTGTGAGCATGTGTTTGTCAAAAGAGTTTAGAGTCAAGAAAGTGGAGATGTAGACCGACAGGTGCGTTGGCCTCACACAGGAAAGAGGAATTCTCTTCAGAGTGCTTCTCTTCCAGGCATCTCACAACTGTCCATGCATGTATTAAACAAGACTTTGACCTTGAATTAGCATACACTGAAACTCAATTTTAAGCAACAGTGAATGGTGCCTACAGTTTGCCGTCACCCCATCTACTTGCCTGCTTATGGTTGATTTTAACTGACTATGCAAGCCTCCAACTGTCCCGTCCTACCTCGTTCTTTTCCAAGCTGCAATCTGACATGGCTTTATCTCCCTGCTCCTGGAATGTGATGATGATCAAAGCCACAAAGATGTTGACAAAGAAGAAGGGGAAGACGATGAAGTAGACCACGTAGAAGATGGAGGTTTCCATGCGGTAACCCGGACTGGGACCCTGGTCTTCAAATGTGGCATCAACAGAGTGTTTCAGCACTCTAGAAAACCACAAGGAGAATGTCAGTAAGATTATCAAACATTGGCAAGTTCATCAAGATACGTTTTTCTCATTTTAACCCTTTGATGCACTGTGTCCACCACAGTGAACAGACCTTTAAAATCCATTTTAAGCACAAGAAGGTGTGATGTTACATCCAAAACTACAAAGGGTTTCCTCAAAAGCATATACTAAAAATGGTTAATAAATTATATTAAAAAATAATAATAATAAAAACATTTGAAATGATTACCGTATTGTCCCGAATATAAGACAATGTTTTTTTCTTGGAAATACATCTGAAAAAACGCGGTCGTCTTATATTCAGGGTCTAGACTTTGAGTTTTAAAGTAAAAAAAAAAAAAAGTAGTAATTATTTAGAAATTAAGATAATTTTTTTCTCCTCTTCTGTGATGTACTGTATTTCTGAGGGAAACGGCTTCTCGGATGAGAAAACAAAACAGGACAGAACTTGGTTTTGTCTTTCAGGCAGTGGTTTTTAAAAAATAATGAGAAAAGATAAAATAAGGGTAAATCTTTTATAATAAACACTTTAACATTGTATAAAAAATAAAAATTGTCCAGTTTGATTTCACAGTGATTTTTTCCTTTAACTAATCATGTAATAATTGTAATAAAAATGCAACAAATGGTAGATTACCACAGACCTGAACTAGTAATAAAAATTAAAACAGCATAAATGTAATACATATTTAGTTTCTGGCAGTTTTCTCTTTAACTGTGGAATTTTATCCCTTTTGTTTTCTGTTTCTTTTCTAACTGACACTCTCTATAAAAAGCCATAAAAAAATAAATAAAAAATAAATAAATAAAAGAAAAAAAGACACAAATCATTAAAAAAATTTCAAGTACAAATTTAAAACATTTTCATAAAGTAGAACAGACCAAAAGCATCATCTTAAAACCGCAGAGAGGGAAAAAGTGTTTATATGCAATGGTTAAGATTACATCCTTGTCCATGAAAAACTCAAGTAGGAATGCGTAGATATCACAGAGTACCATACACAGTTATTGAGTGTTAAAGAGGGATTTAATTTAAATATGAAAAACTTTCTGGATTTTCTTGTTGCAGCGCAGGAGTTTTTTTTTTTTTCTCTTAACCAAGTATGTGTTTTTCTATGAAAATCTGGAGTTAAAAGTAAGTAAAATATGGAGTTAAAAGTAAGCAGAGTTGAGATGAACACAGATTACACCAGAGAGAATTAAGCAAGAAGAGAAACTTAATCAGAATAGACAGAGCAAAAGGAGAAAGAGATCAGAGTAAGAAAACCAACATGTTTTTAACATGTCTCTGTAAGATAACAGTGTGTGTGTGTGTGTGTGTGGACTCACGTTGGCCAGCCCTCTCCTGTAGAGACAGTGAACAGGGTCAGAAAGGCCCACAGGACGTTGTCATAATGGAAATCATACTTTTTCCACTCGCGTGGCTGTGTCATGGCCCCTCCATCACTGCCGTACTCCAGGAACTGACCCCTGAGTACAAATACATCAAATCTAACTTATTATTATTTACTTCCTGCATTGATTCCTCCTTTCTTCCTTCCCACTTCCTCTTTTTTACCTTCTAAGAACAGTTTCTTTACTTCCTTCTGTCCCTTTTCTCCTCCCTTTCCTTCTTTCTTTGCTCTTCTTTTCCATTTCCTTCCTTTCATCTTTCCTACCTTCCATCCAGTAAATGACTCTTTCTTTCCTTTTTACCTTTCATCTTTCCTACCTGCCTGCCCTTCCTTCACTCTTCCTTTCCTTTCCATGTTTAGTCTTTTTGTTTTCTCTGCCTTCCTACTATACTTCTATTCAGTCACTCGTCATTTCTAGGGTTGGGTACCGAAACCCGGTACCAATATGGCACCGGTACCTATGTAACCGGTATGTACTAGAACCAAATCAGAACGCAGATTTCGGTGCCATGCCTGAGCGATCGATTGAAATATTTGTCCTCTGGTTTTCCGAAATGGACGTAAGAAGCATCATCACCGGCACCGCACGTGAAAAATAATTTCCCGACTGAGAAAATGCACGTGAACTCAAGTC